TCTTAGAGAACACAGCGTGCTAAATAAAAGGCCACTTCGAAAAGTACTATCGTACTTCACGCGCACGCGCAGCGCAATCCTGTAAGTCTCCGTCTGTCACTGTGGCAAAATAGCTGTTACACAAACAACAAATAGTATGATAGCATTTATCAAAATGGTGCGTAACTTGATTATGTTTGAATAAGAAATCAGCCTGTGTGGAGGACTCAGTCAGCTTGATATTCTTTTTAGTAGATAGCTCCAAGGTACGTTTAGAATTTACACATAGTTGGATTAGACACATGGTAAGATTGAATCCGAATTTATACATCTTGTTAATTTTTTAAAAGTTGCTCTCGAGTTTTCATAGAGATATCTTTTTTTTTATGAAAACTGGACTGAACTTTGTATCGAGAAGCTACTTAGGATATATTTTTGGTTTACGCGAACTTTTAACAACAATATCTAATTTGTGTGTTTTTGTTTTCAGTTCACAATAAGTTTCAATGTATGTTAAACGTTTGCGTAAGTCTCAAGAGTGAAAACGGTTCTTAGCCAATTTAAGGCTAGTTTTAACAAAAATGGCTAATCTAACATCGAAAACATTTCAATTTAATCGTTTGTACTCAGACGAGTGTATAGAATACATTGGTATTCTTTTTTTAAAGACGCAAGCAACTTTTAGAGCGTTTGTATCTTATTCCTTCGGCCTTGTATGATTTGAAGAGGAACCTATTTTGTTTTGATTTGTTTTTCTTTCAAAGGCTAAGAAATTTGTTTTTTGAGACAATCGGTTACTTTACTCTTTTGAAAGTGTTATTTACCACCAAAAATAACCAAAACCTATTTTACGATATAGAGATAGAGTAGAGAAAGATGCTTTGTCGCCTTGTCACGAGCGTCGGACAAAGAAAAAATTCTCTGTCCCCATAAGGAATCGAACCTCAGACCTTCGGATTCCGCGCTCCGAACAATCAACTTCGTAATTGGCCTCTCTCGCCATAGAGTCTCTGTGGCTCAGTGGTAGAGCATCGGAGCGCGGAATCCGAAGGTCTGAGATTCAGTTCCTTATGGAGAGTTAGAATTTTTTCTTTGTCCAACACTCGTGACTAGACGAAAAAACATTTCTCCACTTCGTTACCCAGCTCAAAACTTACCATCTCTCTTACTTTGTATACAAAGATAGAGAAGTTTTGAATGAAGAGTTGTGTTGTAACGAGTGGCTAAAACTTCAAATCGAGAGCGATTGAGGCTCAAGAATATGAAGAAAAAAAAAATGAAGAAAAGAAAAATAATTGACAAGCGCTGGAAAACGGTAGCCACAGTCTGACAGTCTAGCGCGGGAAATGTGGACGGATTCCACGTGCTTTAAGCGTGATTTTCTGGATGCAGTAAATAGTTTGATCCAATTGGTTACATCAGAGTATCACGCCACACCCGGATGTGGCGCAAACCATTCATTGAGCACTGCTCTTTTCACCATGATTGAACGAAAACGATTGTGTGACATTGTTTCGACTTAGCTCTCGGCGAAAGAGTGTCACGCATATTGTTTAAAGAAGTTTGACTTTAGTTTTATAGGCAAAAATAAATTATAGTGACAAGCTATCGAACGGGAGTTCGTCGGAATCCGACGATTATCTGAAAAGGTTTATCTTGGTGTCATGATGTTTCCTGATTGTAGAGGAAAAAAATTGTTTTGTAGAGGAAACAAGTTGGAAACTGTATGGGAATTGTAGCAGCTGTTTCTGTCCCGTGAATACGCTGTAATTTAAGATGTCAACTTAAATTTGAACTTGGATGAGTCATGATTTATTAACTTGGACGTGTCTTAATTTTTAAGCTATGCTCGGATGTGTCTTAACTATCAAAAATAAAAGAAGTGACATGAACATGAAAGTGGCGTCAAACTTTTGATCGTTGTGTTTCCTTTGATTGCATAGCCACAAACTCTTTAACAGTAATACTTTCTTCTTTCTTTGCCCCTCTTGTACTTGGCAATCTTGGTGATGAGGGTTTAAGACTGCATTGGGAGGGGAACGAAAGTTTCCATCAAACCTTGACAAGGGCTGAGTGTTCGTTTTCCTTTACGACGAGAGAATCTCCCTTGAAACTCTCCAAATCGTTCTGCAAATCTCTCAAGCAAACGTTAAAATCACTTTGCAATCTCTTTGGAGGCTCTTCAAACCCCTCTGCAAATCCTTTTACATTTTCGGACAATTCCTTAGGAACTCTTTGGGAACTCTTACAGACCCTAAATCAACCGGATAAAAGGAGTAAGTTTCTCAAGAAATTGGTGCTGCTTCAGTAGTAGAGTATAACAGTGTAATTTAGTATCATCAATTGAGTTGATAACTTAAATTGGCCCCCTTGAAGAGTTTAAAAGCTGATGTTTCGAACGTTAGTAGCGAAGGGCTCTGACGAAGGGCTAACGCTCGAAACGTCAGCTTTGAAACTCTTTACGGTGGCCGATTAACGTTATCAACGCAGTTGGTAATACTAAATTACCCCATAAAAGTCCCCTTGATATCTCTCTGGAGACACTGAAAACCCTAGGGGAATTTTTGAACCGGACTTCCTAGAGGCGAGATTCCTCTAAACAGTGCTGGAGAATGGTAATTACAAATGACGTCTTCTGTATCATGGTCATGGATGAAGTATGTGTCAGGATTACTGGGGCAAAGCTTATTCCTACCTGGAAGGGCCCTTATCCCCTAACCAAACTCGCACAGAGTTGGCCATCAATATGATCTTCTTGCGAACTCTCTCCCTTTGGGATTCCACCATTAGCCCTTTAATTTTACTAGTGACTAAGACAGAATTTCTCCTTAAAACATCAATAAAATATCAAGCAGACAAGTTATGAGAATAAAGAAAGAGTCCAATGAAGGGATTATAGCTTGATATGATACCAAATTCTCCACACTGGCATAATAAGAACTGTATAAACAACTGTGAGGAGAATTACTAATAAGAAATTAGGAGTGAAAGGGTTTATTAACTGAGGTGCATCCCTTTTCCATGTAACATGGATTAGATGTATATTTTGACATCAATAACTGTTCAGAAAACACTTCACATTTTACTAAGTCAATATATCAAACTTTAATTGGATTCTTGGAAATTTTCAACCATTGAAGGTAAATGTACATTAAATGTGAATTTGTTTTGCTCTCTCAGGGTTGATAAAAGTTGAAATACCTTTTCCTTTTGAAGTGTGTTTCACAACCAAATATTGTATTATGGTGAATTTTACTCAAGAAAAAGCAGTATAAGAGACAATTCATTTTAAACCAAAAGTGCCTTTGTAACAACCAGCTGCCTTAGAGATGTGTACATAGATTTGACCTTAGAATATGAAGCGTACCATTTTATATGCAGAGTAGGGGAGTAAGGAGAGAATAAAATATTGTTTCCACAATACTTTGTTGGGTAGCAACCCCCACCCTGCTTCAATGCAATGCAAATCACAGACAGAATTGATGTCTACACAGTCACAAAACTGAACTTCCTGCTCATATTGTAAGAACATAGGAGAGTACAGTGTAATTCACTTTACAAGCTAAATTGAATAACTTTCTACTCGCTAAGGTCATCAGAGTTCTGTGTGTTCACTTTTGAGTTGTTCAATCCTCTTGATAAAGTCTGATTTCTCTAAACATCCCACACATTCTTCATCCCAGTCACTGAGAATCTTCTTGAGCTGCTTCACTCGGAGCTTCTTCAGGTCAACATTGTTAAGGTCAATCTGCTTGTCTGCAATAGGGATCAGGTCAAAATTTATATCAGCATGCGAACAATTTAACTGTAATAATATCCCTATTAACTTGAGAAAAAGAAGCCACTGACATGTGCAAAACCTCAACTAATATTATAGAAGCAAATACTTCACTTCCTTAGAGTAAATTTATCATTTCTCTCCCAAATAAAACCTTTTTGACACTGGTCATTGTCAAACAATGCTCTTTGCATTTTCCCAAGGGCAGTATCTCAATGAGATAATAAGTACATGAAATTGAAAGAAAATGAAAAAATAAATGAACTTCTTCACACTAAAACTTACCATACTGCAAAGCACAAATTTGGCTGTCCTGTTTTTTAAGGTCCTCGCAGATCTTCTCTGCAGGTTTGTGGTAGCTCAGAGGCTTGAGGACTGCATTAAGAACACTGGTAGCAGCATCTTCAGTGCCTCCAATGTAGTAACACTGGGTGATCAAAACAAAAGTGTTGTGATTAACTACAGTCAAGCTTCATCTGCTTATTTTTGAGGCATAAAGCTGTGTTTTCCTTTTCAGGCTGTAACTGGTAAAATTTATTGCCTGTAATACCTCTTATTATTGCCTAAAATAGCTTCGAATTCTTGAAAATTCAAGGCACAAGAGGATTTCTTTACCAGTTTAAAAAATTTATTTGCCTGTTTTGCTTAAATTGAGGGAGAACACTGATGAAGGGATTAGGAGTATTCCTCCTCAATCTCTCCCTGAGTGGAACAAAAGTGCAATGCAACTCTCTTTTCTCCCAGTAATTTTTCAAGTTTTCCAGACATTTGTTGAAAGCCGTTAAACACTGACCCTGGTAGACCAAAAAGCTGACCGCTGCGTAGGTCAGAATTAAGGGGATAAGTGTCAAAAGACTTATGAACCCTATCACTAGATACTGCTACATCCTATGAATAGCTTTGTCCTCCCTCTGCAATATTCAAGGTTTCCATCAGATTGAAGAAAGGCCCATGCCACTAAAAGTTAGCCAGATAATTTTGCATAGTAGCTAAGAAGTTCTAACATCTTGTAAGCCTTATGAATCCACAGACTATTAGGGCCCATTGAAGAGAGGAAGTGAGTGAACTGAGTGAGGTGTCATGTGCAAGAGTAAAGCACAGAGACCCAGCCAAATCTTGAATCCAAAGCTTGAACCCAGACTTCTCACATGCAAATGTATTGGTTTTGTACATCTTTTTAAACATGATCATACTATAAAATGCACTTACAAATCTGTTTTCTTTGTTCTTTGCCTTTTTGCAAGCAGCTTTGAACTTTTCTTCAATTGCTTTCATGTCAGACATTTCATCGCTTGACAGTTTACTTGCAAAATTTGTCAGAAACTTTATACAAACTATTGATTAAAAAGGAAAAAATATGTCCAATGTTAATGAAATAATGATATGCTATAAAGCATGACAATACCACAAAATTGAAATAAATATTAAGAAAAAAAAGGCATTTAGCCATGCAACATATACAAATACATTCGAGACTTGAAGTCTTTTTCCCAATATATCTGTTTTCACAGCTGTTTCAAGCCTTCCAATTTTTTTTCTGGGACATGTCCAATATGAGGACTGAATCAAAGTAAAAAGGGTAGTTTACTTTTCCCTAAGGTTTTTCTTCCCAAGAGAAAATTTGAGTAGTAGTAAATGATTTTTAAAAAATTTTCTTGGAGTGAAAGTGTTACTACACACAGGCTTTGGTGTCTGATTGAAATTCTCAACAGCTGTGAAACACAGTCCTGAGGAAACATGACACACAGTTGAGACGACAGATGCTAAACAAGTGTAAACTATTGCTCCATTATTTCTTATTACTGGATCAGTCCAAGAATGAGCTTGAGTTAGTAAAACATCAAGACTCCAAGAAAAAGATCAACACCGGCTCAGTAAGCATTACATAATATGAGTTGAAAGTTTTAAAATGAACTAATACTAAAGATCATGCATTTGTACCACTCCACAAGATCGTTGCATGTAAAGGCCGAAAGCTTAAATTTTTCATAAATTACTAAAATCTAAAAAATTAGTCAGACTTAAACTTTTTTATAAAATAAAAAAAAGACATTGAGTTTAGTATCTAGGTTGCAGGTCTTCATAAATTACGTTGTGTCAAAAAAAGGTGCCTTTGCAATTCTAAGGCCTAGAAAGTTCTCATAATTTCCCTGAACCCTTGACCGGTCTGTTGAGTGAGATACAAGAACTCTTCATTATCTCTACATGTTTAAGTCTAGGTGAAGGCCTAACAACCGTACAGCCATACGTGTCATGTTATAAGCTTAGCTGAGTTTCACTTCCTGCCGCTACAAGGTTGTATGTAAAACTTACCTTCACACTCTCCTTCTTTTAACTTCGCCTCTGTCAGTAAAACCTGACAGCCGAGTAAGGCGTTTAGTGTGAGAACAATAAATAACCACATCCTCAAGAAATTAGCTCGATCACACAAGTAAAACCATAAAATCACCGAAGTCTAATTCGTGTACACTCTTTGGCGTTTGCCGGTTTATTACGCAAATGCCAGTGCTATCGGTCTAGTTGGCGATCTCTGATTGGCTTAGATATCTCATCGGCCGACAGTTTTCATAGCCAGCGGTTTCAAAGGAAGAAAAAAGCCCGCATATTTATGACCAGCGTTTCAATTTTTAAAAAACTCAGTCACCAGGCCTCGACTGCGGACAAGACGCTCATACATATCGCTATGGAAATAAAACTACGCAATTGGAAGGAAATGTTTCTCTAATCTGTTTTTAAAATCGAATGAAGATCGTAATGGTGGATCTTAGAGGGAGACAAGCTGGTAGTTGAGATGTCTTTGTCGTCAGTTTTTCCTGCCTTACCGGGTGTTTACACCCAAAAGCACAAGCAAAAGTTAGTTGACGTACATGTGTTGATGTTTGTTGCTCACCAATATATTTGTGGCTAATTAGCGCGATTCGAACCACTCGATAATTCTTGATGTTGACAACAGTACACAGAAAACTGTCAGCTTTTACGATGGGTCGTACCTTTCTTCTCAAAAATTAATGATGTTAATAATAGTTTGGTGAAATAACTTTCCAAAGAAATCAATTGATCATTGAACATTTGACATGGATTTTTCTAAACTTGTTTGTATTAACAACAAATCGGAAAATCTCTGATTCCGAGTTACATCATACTGGATGTCACAGATGATTTCTATCACAAGATCCATCTCGTTGTTAGCTTTATGTTTTCCGCCCAGTAGACATGAGTAGAGTATATCGTTCAAGAAAGATCGCTGACTTTTTTGAGATTTATGGTTCTTTAATAACACTGGATGGGAAAAAATAACATGCTGTATATGTGTATTTTATTAATAGAAAAATGTCCTTTATGATATGGAAGCTGGTGGAAAAATAGAAGTAAAACAATAATTCAAATGGTACATTACCAAGCACTCTAAATAATAAGGTTACAATCCTAACTGGTGGAAAGCAAACAAATCTTATATCCACAAGCATGGTCTCAGACAAGAAACCTGGACCTTTGCCTTGTGAATTTACCCTATATTCCTTAGCAGTGACTAGGATCCAATGTTATCTCGCAGTATCGACCCTAATCTAACATTAAGGTCGCAAGAATTAAGAAAATGATCACCAACTAAAGAAGCTCTTGATTGTTAAACGAATTCTCATTGTCAGCACCATAAAATGTATAGGAAACAGTATGGAGAATTTGCATACTGATATTAAGGTGTGAAAGGTTAATGAACTTAACAAATTCATCATCTTGCTGCCAAGTTTCCACCTTAAATTTCAATATTGCTGGACCAGGTCTCCAATCTCAACTTTTATATTTTATAATTGTTAATAGCTCTCTTCAAGACACCATGGTCACATTACACAAAAAATATGAAAAGCTGTTTCTACTATTAAGCAATTATTGGATGAGGTTGAGCATGATATCATGAATTATCAAAACCAATGTCTGAGGTTTGATAATTTGTGATATCATGGGACAACCAAATTCAATCATTGTTTTATTATGCATTTTTCAAACTGCAAAGGAAGACACTTCTCTGAGTTTGCTTAAGTGTGAGAACACTACACAGATGAGGGGCTTGGAAACTAGGCAGACTTTGAAGTCAACATGATGAATGCAATATCCACCTAGGGTATTGCATTTGTAGTGGCAACTTCACACACTATTGTATATTAATTGAATGCTCTAATGCCCAATCAGATTTTTCATGATAAGTATAACCGTACTACACAATGAGCTAGCAATATTGTGCAATTTGAGTCATTCTAGAGAAGACTTCTTTCACATTTAAAGAACATGAACTTGTCACAAAAGAATGAAGCAGTTTAGTGGACTTGAAAAGGTTTTGTGTATAAATGTTCCATTGACAGGTTTCTCTTTAAAATTGTATGGCATCTGAATGAACAGCAATGCAAAAAGTCTGATTTCTAATGACAAAACTGTATTATTACATTTGTCCACCATGTGTAGGGTTCTGGAAACAACCAGCAATGCTGCAAGCTCTGTTCATTCTAAAAAGAGCAAAAATAAGCACCTGGCAGAAGCTGAGAAACAGAAGGCCGAAGCCGAAGTGAAGGCTGCAAAAGAGAGGGAACAGGTACCTCAGTAGTTTGTTGTGTTTACCTCCCATAGATGACCAGGACATAATTTCTCCTTACATTATCAATAGAATACCAAGTAAACAAGTAATGAGAATAAAGGAAAATATCAATTAGGTGATTATTAGTTGATCCAATACCAAATTCTTCAAACTCACGTCATAAGAATTGTATGGCTGACAGTAAGGAGAATTACTAATGAGATCTATGGAGTGAAAGGCTAACAAGCTAATCATTCAGAGAGAGGTAATCTGTGAGAAGATATTGTGTGACTATTTTGCGTGATAAGTGTTGTGTTACGCAGATGCTTTGGCTTGCATTGTGTGACAAGCACTGACAGAGGTAATCTGTGAGAGATGTTGTGTGATTATTTTGCGTGATAAGTGTTGTGTTACGCAGATGCTTTGACTTGCATTGTGTGACAAGCACTGACAAGCATTTGCTCTGACGAAGGATTAACGCTCGAATTAAGGGGGTGAGTTTCTAAAGAAATTGTGGTGCTGCGTCAGTGGGAGAGTATAACAGGGTAATTTACTATTATCAACTGAGCTGATAACGTGAATTGGCCACCGTAAAGAGTTTGCAAAGCTGACGTTTCGAGCGTTAGCCCTTCGTCAGAGCGAAAGTCAGGAGGGCTAACGCTCGAAACGTCAGCTATGAAACTCTTTACGTTGGCCAATTTACGTTATCAGCTTGGTTGATATTTCTAAATAACCCTGTAACGCTCGAATATTCAGCTTTAGAACTCTTTACGGTAGCCAATCTACATTTTCAACTCAGTAGATAAAACCAAATTACTATTGTAGACAGCCAGTGTGTTATGAAATAACTGTGTTGTAACAGCGTGACGTTCAACATACGCTAGATGGTTTAATAACAGAAATAACCGGGCATGGTCGTCTGGAACTCGAAGTTTCTGATAATCCCCTCCCCATCCATAAGGCCTGCATTTGGAAGCCCGGGGGGGTGGGGGGAAATGGGGCTTGCGAGAGCGTTTATGGTGTTACCCGTGAGTAGTTTGTGACGTTTTCTTATTTTTACAGCAATCTGTCCGCTTATATGAAGTGTGGTCGAAGATCAAACAAGAGGAGAAAGATGAACAATACCAATACCTGAAGGAAAGAGTCGCCATACAACATGAACTCATCAAAAGACAAGACTCGCTCTTTAAGAAACGTCAAGCTCACCTGGAACAGAAACGGTGGCAGGTGAGATGTTACAGCTTAAATTTTGCAGAAGAGTTAAGGAGTATTGCCGAAAGGTAACTTGAACGGCCGGCGAGCAGGACCTTACCCAGTAAGCACTTCGGCACGACCACCACGGTTTCAGCGCCTTCAGGAAAGTATGAGGCCTCTTAGCAGCGCCAGTCGGTGAGAGGTCTGTAAGGGGTCTGGCACTAATAATTATTTTTGCATGAGCCCCGGTAAAGCTCTCGCCGAAAAGCTTGTGAGAGTCCAGACTACGCCTGAACCAGCAAATTCTGAATCGGAATGTTTTAGTACGTAGCTACAAGTACGGAGTGCATCACTTCTTTTGAGAAATTTTTTTGATGGAGGAAAACTTCCATCAAAGTTAATTCTTGAAATGAATCCTAGTTACTCTTGTTCCCAGGGTCTCTCTCTTTCTGACCAGAAACTGCGAATAAGTTTGTCTAAACGTTAACAGTAAATTTCGATTTTACGGTTTCCTCGAGATGTAAGTTGGGACTTTTGGCCGAAGTTTTTCGACCATATTTCGATAGACTGTTATTGAAAGTGGTATGTAATAAGTATAATAGTGTTTCAAAACATTAGCGAAATGCGTGAGGGGAAGTTGCTGGATTCTTTATCGTAAAAGATGGAAGCTTCGATAGTGCTCTCTTTTGTTAATAGAACCCTCTGGAAGCAGAAGAGATTTCGAGAAAAACCACTGACTTGAACCTCACCCGGGCGATCAAACACTTGTCTAGGTTTAATGTTTCCCCCAACAGTTCTTCCATACAGTAGAACAGAGCACAGTCGTGAAACAGTCGAATTGGGCTTCCTTTTCGAAATAAAATTTTGAAAACATGTCGCTATTGTCATGGGCACTGAAAGAGATGATCGTGTTAATGTGAGGGTTGCATTGCGAATTTCATGGTATGATGTCTCAATTGTATCATGAATAATTTACCTATCAATCTAATATTTGCATTTTAACTTTTGGATACGAAATTGCCCCACAAGATGGTATGCACAAAAAAATATAATTATCATACGAATTGACGCTGTTTTGACTGAGAAAGTTTTTGTTCTTTATGTCTTCTCTTTTTATAATGCGTAACACGGTTCTGTTAGCTCACTCTGCGCCTTAATGAGATGCAAGTTTCATGGTAACACTTTGTTGTTTAAAGTGTTGGTTCTCATGAATATATAACCATATTTTGTTCAATGTACAAGTCGTAATGCCTTGAAACTCTGTAATTTTTAGCTGAAAGAAGCAAAACGCTTGTCAAAGATGGCCAAGTCGAAAGAATACACCGATTTCGTTCGAAATGTTTTAGGTAAGTGAGAAATTTTTTGAAATTTGTTTTTCGTTTTTTTGGGTTGAAATACTTTTCACATTTTCGACAGCGTTTAGTGGATTTAAACTTGCATTTTCTTCAGAAATGAAAGACAAAACCTTTCCTCTAATTTTCGCTTAATTTTCCTTCCAATCCGTTAAAAGCTTTTGTAGAAAACTGCCTTATTGCACAAGCAGTTGAGAGGCATATAGAAAAAGTTCTTATCCTGCCGTGTGCCGTACGTGTAAACGTTGTTCTTAAAGCTCTGGTTCCCTGTTCATCATTTTACGTGGAAGTACAAAGCTCTGTACATATGTTAGCCATGAATGTTAGATTCCGGAAGACTAAGAGTAGTAGATGGTTTCATCGTAATAATTGAGCGCAAATCAACAGAAATCATCCTCCCCCCTTCACAAATAAAATACTTTATCTCTGCACCTTGTTTACGTTTGATACGCTCAGCGGATGCTTCTTGGAGACAGTTTTGTGATTTTCGCGTAGGTTTTTCTTGCATCTATTATAAAAGAGAACTTGAATTGAAATAATGGGCCTCTCGAAATCAGGTGCAAGGCCAGTTTCCTGTGAATCATTTAAATCCGTTCACTCCTACCATCAATGGAGTGGTAGTCTCTCAATACGATTTGAATACATTATTTGGAGTCGGATGTGGTTGCATTCTTCTTCCGCTCGCCGTTTGCTTATGAAAACCGTTTCCGAGTAAGTTCCTTGCCTCAGCTTTCTTCACTGCCATGGTAAACTTGTGAAGTTTTTCATCCACTCTGGCAACCACGAACAACTTTTCCTCAGGAGATATTGCAAAGGAAGTAATTAGTCTGCGAGCATGGCATTATTGTTAGCTGCCTTCGGCACGAGTGTTTCTCTACCCGCGAGAAACTGAGATGCTTTGAGAAACATAAGTCAGCGAAAGGTCTGTCAGAGGTCTAGCGCAATTGACTAGTCTAAAATCCTTCCGCGGGCAGAGAAACGCGCGTCTTGCAGTGGAAATGACCTGACCTGCACAGTTGCGCAGGCTAGGAAAAAATTCGCTGGTATGTTCATCCACTGCGGCTAAATTACTTGATGAAACATTTGCTTTCACAGCTCAAGACAAGAAGAAAGCTCTCCGTTTAAAATCACACGTGCGTGTCATTAGCAGCCACGAACCAGTCCGTGCGCCACAGTCTGCGCGAGATACCAAAAGTAGCTACGAAAGTGCAAAAACTCAATCACCCGGTCAGTCTAGTCTGGACAGTCACGGATCGGCTGTGGTAGAAAGTTCGCTTCTCACGGATAATTTCAAGGAACTGCTCCATGATCCTGTTGAGGTTCAGTTGCAGAAGTTGTTGGGTGCGGATGCCGAAGATTTTCTTCATCCGACTTTCCGCGAAGGAGCTAAGAAAACTCTTAATCCGATGGCGACGCAGAGAAAACGTACGTATTTTAAGAACCTTTTTCGCGTGGGAACGCGCGCGCGCGCGGGTCCATACGTGCGGAGTTCATGCGCAGAAAAAGGAACGCGTTGTTCTCACGTTGTTCTTGTTTGAAGTAAGTGAGCGCTCAGCGGGAAACGACCACGTAACGTTTCTCACTTTCCTTCTTTCCTCGCGTGCCTTCCTTTTTAACAGCCTCCACTGACTGAGATCTTTGAACAGGTCAGCGGTGACTTATTGTGTGACCTGTATGACTTGAAATAACAAAATTTATTCTTTATTGCAATTTTGTTCAGTGAGTGGCATTGGAGCGCGTGAGCTGTGGGGGATACTGAGGAGCAATTCGCAATCTAAACTAGAAACACAAGATGACATGATACCAGTTGATGTAAAGGTAATTCAATTTTTTGCACAATCTGTAACTAAATTCACTCTTCGACGTCTTTTGTCATCCCTGTGTCTTTTAGTTTCAATTTATTCTGACGTCTGTAGCGTTGTTTAGCGTAGCTAACTGTTTTAAGATTTCCAACTGTTTGAAAATTATATTCTTGCGCCACGAAAACTACTCAGAATTTCGTCACGTCACTAATTGGACCTTGGCAAGAGACTCAGTCACAAACTGATCTTAACTTGAGCAATTTTTGAAGTTTTCCACCTCTGTAAGCTGTGGCAGTTAAGTTTTGGGGCTAGCATTGCAAAAGATCGTGATTGTATTTCGTCCCTGCATATAAATGTTCTGATGTTGTTTCTCTACTGGGCTGAAGTGTAATCAGTAGGAAACACCTTTTTTTTTTTTAAACATATGTTGCCTTTTTTTCATGTCGTAGAATGCCTACAGGGCTTTCCTAAGGGAGTGTCTCCACAACAACATCCCTACAGTGCGAAGGAGTTTCTGCAAGGGCGAAGAAAATGTAAGTAGAACACACCGTCATGAATTTACAAATGATTGTATTTGTTCAATGATTCTGTCATTTTCACCTTTTTGTTAAGTAATTATTTCCTAATTTATAAATTAATTTTTATCATTGTATTTGGACTTCCATTAGACGACGCTCTTTGCCAAACAATCCTGATTTTACCGGTCATCGGCTACTTACTTTGTGTAGATTTCACTTGTTCCGAGTGTTATTTGTCTTTTCTTTAAAATAACTCTTTGGTTGTGCGATCTGACTTCATAGGACTTCACAAACTCATTTATTAGAAAATACGACTTTGTCTTGTCATATCTTACAAGGGAGCCTCGATTTCGTGCTTTAGACCCAGTTTTCCCGGCTCGTATCCAAATGTATTGACCGCGTAGTAATAATGTTACTGAAGCTAGATCAGTCGACACTCAAAGAATACTTTTGTGATTTCATAATTTTTCGCCTGTAGGTCTTTGAAGAAGATCGTGTAAGTGAGAGCCAGTTGATACAGGACATTAAATTCACACGGCATCATTTAGAGCTTATGTTCAGAGTAGCTCATATGAACCGTGATAAAACCAAACTACTGGTGAAAACTATGGACCCCGAGGGACCCTCTGAGGGGACAGTGAGTCGTCCACCAAGATATGATCCGCAGCAGATACTTGACATGCCCATGGTAAGAGCGTGAATGGAGTGGTTCAATCTTAGATAAAGTAATTTTAAATTTAGTGTTCAAAATGATCCGGGATTGAATTAGATAATATGTTTTTCTCAACTGTTGTTATACCTCCTTCCACTCTCTAAGAGGAGGTAGAAAAAGAATGGATTAAACTCGTTAGTGTTAGAAAGCACTGAGATTTACTCGCATATCATTAAGGGGAAGCATCAAAATTCCCAGTCGCTTTAGGCTTCAAAAACCAGGCCTTAGCCTAAAAGTTACAGCTGTTTTTAACCATTTTCATCCCTAGGAAACGCGTCCTGCACGATTACCAACGCTCGCATTAACAGACGCTGATGGAGAACGCCATTCGATACAGGAACCACCCTCCCCTAGAGCAGAAAGCACACATGAACCGGAGAAAAAAGACGTGATTGTCGGAGGAGAAAAGATTGTATTCCTCACTGAAGAAATGGCGACCTGTGAAGGAGAATTCGCCAAACGACACAAGGCTCCTGGATGTTCTAAAGAAATGGCTCCACTCTCTAAAGGGCCACATAGAGGGATCAATATAAGAGAAACTCTCTCAGCCCCTCCAAGTAGCATGGGCTCAAGGGAAGCGAAGAAGAGCCAGGGTAGATTGTGGGAACCGCTTAGTTTAAGTGCCCTGCTGGAGTACAATGCACCAGTCCCCGCGCCGGGTAGTGGCGAATTCTTGTTAGGTCAAACAAAAAGGTGGAAAATACAATGATAACATTTTTCCTTCAATAATTCATTCGAGCAAACTGTTTGCAAGTGAAGTCATTCTTCGTGTAATATTATGGAAGTGTCACACGTACAAGTGGCGAGGGTCGTCATGTGTTATTTGGGAGGCGAACTTGGTCGAGCGAACAACTTAAGGTAGTCGCGGGCAGAATGGGATTGCTTCTTCAGTCGTGTATCCGGTTGTTGCCCGATGATCTGCTTGGGATCAAGAGAGCTACAGACAAGTTTTCTTGAGGTGATTTTAATCAATCATGGAAAATGAGAGAAAAGAGAGAGGAAAGCTCGTAATCCAGGCTTTAAAAATAGTAATTTCATCATAGTTATTTATAGCAAGTGACTCGAACGGGTCTGTTTTCGGACACCTCCGTTCTAAGTGAATGCATCATAATGACGAGCGGTGAGATACGTTTTAATGATCAAATCGACTTCGAAAAGAAGAGAAGGGTATTTTTTCAGCGAGAATTCGGAAGTGTAGGAAAACATACGTCTGTTTCCGTCTGAACTAAAGTTAACTCTAGTGGACATGTCTTAGATGGAGAGATTTCTGAACGTCCTTCCTTGGCCTTCATTTCTGTTGGTTCACAGTGCTTCTCGTGAAACTTTAAAACGTTACCCACATGTGCCCCTATACAAACGCTGAAAAACTCAAAAGGTTAATATATTCTTTTAATTAACAAAAAGAGCAGGAATTTTGTAACTGTAAATCAATTTCTTTGAGAAGTTTTGTTTTCAGGGCTTTTGCTCTTAAGTGAAAAACGCTGTGATTCCACTGCCAGAATGCTCGTTACTCATTAAAAACAGTTAAAAGATATTATTTTTTTTGTAAATAGATGTTTGTTCCACGAACTGTTGTTAATGAGAGACGGAATCTCTTTAAATGAAATGTTATCTTAACTAATAAAGTTTGATTTTTTAATTCATGTTACTGTGAACATGTACCTGGTAAATTTTCCCTAGAGGGTTTTCTTTTTCGGTTTGGTTTTCGTAATCTTAACTTTTATACCAATATTTCAGTAGAATGGTTCATGAACGCTCTTTGGAAATAACTCTCTTTTTTCAGTATTTATTACCGTTTTATTTTCTTTCATTTTTCTTTTTAGCAATTGTGAGTGCACATGACTACATCTTTGAAGTCTGCATTTAATTCCGTAAGCCGCTTTTTACTCCCTCACCCCCCTCCCTCCCCCTGCTGTTCACGTTTTGTCGCTAAGCGGACGGCGTGGAGACTAAGTTCCAAGATGGCCGCAAATCTGAGCAACTGATGTTCCGTCCATTAGACAGTTAGTAGTTAATTTTTCCGGACATAAATGGTTGATCTCGTCAACTAGAGTAAGAGAGAGGCGTTAACACAGATCCGGTTAAAATGGGAGTAACTTGGTGAGTTATGAAATCAGTAGAACATTAAATTGAGGCGATCTTTGCTCGAAACAGCGTAGTACTGTCAAAGAGCGTGTTCCTTTTTGGGAGAACGGCAGAAAGAAAATTTATAAACGCTGCTTTGCTTGGGATTTCCAATACAAGCATTTGCTCTCCAGTAAGATACTTTGTGTATCATATGATCGCTGAATGCTATAGATGTGTGCGCTCGAACCAAGTACTGTAGTCCATAATCACGAAGAAAAAAGTAATGTTCTCATTATTAACTCTTCCCATATTAAAAGGCGCCAAAGCCTATCGTTGTTGCGCCACAAAAATTACTCAGAATTTCACCACGTCACTACTTGAAACTTGGCAAGAGACTCGAGTCCCAAACTGATCTTAATTTGAGCAATTTTTGAAGTTTGCCACCTCTGTAAGCTGTGGTTAAGTTTTTAGGGCTAGCATTGCAAAAGATCGTGATTGTGTGCACTCGAATCAAGTACTGTAGTCCATAATCAAGAAGAAAAAAGTAATGTTCTCATTATTAACTCTTCCCATATTAAAAGGCACCAAAGCCTATCATTGTCTCTGAACATGTTCTTAACAACTCATTAGTATAATTTAATTTTAAGCTTGATTCCAGTGGAACTTCCAGAAGGAAAAAGTGGCCAACAGGCTCTTGCAGTTGAGAAGCTTCAAAAACGTGCCGAGTTAATGGGTGCTCAGAAGACTGGTAACTGGTGTGTCAACTGTGAGACTTACCAGGCAGTAACGACATTCAGTAAGTACAGAGAGCACTTAAATGTCCTTGATCTTGTCAATCTCTGAACTTACTGCTATATTCCTCTGTAACACACACATTTCTTCAAATCTGTTGAGGTCTGAATGTAAGTTGAGTAGTCATGTGGCTGATTAAAGTGGAAAGGGTTGTCACCTTGAATGAGATGCCTTGACAGAAATATTCCTAATAACAATACTTTGGAGGAGAAGTTTGGGAAACGTGGAGAAAAATCTTCAGACTGCAGACCAAACTGGTAACAAACTGAACTTAAATATGATGCCTTTGCAGGAATGAAACTCAAGCCACAAGGCAGTGGGGCTGTTCTTACCTCTACTTCATATTTGCTTTACTTTTGCTGTGGCAAAGATTTGAAAGAAATCCTAAATGTAGCTTGAAGTCTAGTTTTCTCTTAAAAAGTATCTTGTTAAGGATACCAAACCTGTGCTCTGTAAAGATAAAAAAAGCAATATTGTTCTGTCAGCCATGAAGTCCAACTCCAATGACCTTCTATATCTACAATATTATCCAGTTTTTTGTTCTTCTTAAAGGTACAGCTAGCAAACTCATTCATCTGGTGCATAGTACAGAATTTCCCTACTCATCATTTGCTGTTCTGGAGACAGGCACATGTCTGGTAGCAGATTCTGGTTTTGATTCCTTGATGTCTAAACTTAAGACATTCTATGCACCAAGAAAAACATCGAAAATAGAGGTGAATATTTTGGTTTTGTAAAAATCAGTTAAGGCTTAGGGCAGCTAGTTTTGTAGCTTTTTCTGTTTCCTTTTCTTCTTACATTCACTTTGTGCTTGCCTCTGCTCACCTGCAAATGTCCTTTGAGAAGTTTAGACAGTCGTCAAGAGTTTTTCATTGTATGTAAACTGACATCATCCCATAGGGAAAAACTGTTATTCAACAATTATTCACCAAAGGCAAAGTGAACATTGTTGAATGATCCCCAAGACAAAGTCCAAGGATTATTCAACAGTATTCACAAAGCCTGAGCTGAGTAATATTAGTATGATTGCTCAGGTGCTTTTGAATTCTGTTGTGAATTTGTTTTGTTGTTGAAACCAGTCTGTTACAATTGTTTTGATTCCTTGCAGCTGGTTTCCACTAGAATTTAACAGGTTCATTAAATTAAATCAACTGAAACTTCACATCTTTCTATTGAAAAGTGTCATGCTAAACTTAGCGACATCTTTTGTGCTCCTCAGAATTGAATTTTTTTCTACTGCATTTATCAGTTCCTGCATAACATTAACAAAATACGAGGCAGCCATTTTGAAATTTAGTGCCCCCTGCTATAATCACCTAATGCAAGGTGACAATAGAGAGATATGGTGCAATACTTGACCAATCAGAATGTGTGCATCTCCATAATCACCAGAGCAATTATATGAATAACTTTTAGAGAAAGGTGATAACCAAGTTTACACCTTTACACTCTTTAATGCTTTTCAGGCGAAAGGACATCGCTATGAGTTGGGAGACTTTGTTCTTAAGTTCGGACAAGTTTCTGCAGGTCCAAGTTTTAAAGGAATCGTTGTTGAGGTGCAGTAAAACAATATAGAGTTCTTAATTCTTTTCTTTGTTTTGCATTCATCAATTATTCATTTATTTATTATTTGGTGTTTGGTGTATTTTCAGGTGGAATATCTGCCCTGCTTAGATGTTCAACAATGTTGGGGATTGATCAGTGAGTTTCTGTTGAGCTTTATGGATCCTTCAATCGTGCTTCCTCCACCTCCCAAATGCAGCAATAAAACAAGTGAACTGTTTTGTCCATCAGACACGATACTCCAATACATTGAAGTGTTTAATACGTATAGAAAGTCTGCTGGAGCCACTTCTTTGTCTTAGCAAATAAACAGTCCAAAGCCTCTTGTATGGGTTTTGTATCTAATGATCCATTTTGCAGTTGTGTGCTTGGTTGCCAAGCCTTTGAACAGGAGTGATGCTAAGATTGACCTTTTTATGATCCAAACCTTGCTGCTTTTCAAATGCAAATTACTTTGTTATCATGCTAATTAGATACTGGTCTGTTTCACAACAAGGTCACCTTCAGCCTCATTCAAAATCAAAAGCTTGGCAACTAAGTATACAATTGTGAAATGGCACTTTATCCAGTTTAGATTGTAAAACTTCGAATAAGTGTAACTCGCTTCTCATGTATTAATAATAAGTGAAATCTTTTAGCACTTTTTTGACTGGTTGGGCACAATAGATGTAAATCAAAGTCGGGGACAAATAAGATCGACATTGATACAGAATCGAATAGCAAAGGATGTGTATCAAAGTTCCGCGCTTTTTGTTTTGGCGGAAGACAATGTACAAAAAACGTTTCTGAAATGCTCTTGATTTTATATGTTTCATTTATACACCAAATATATGTGTATGTTTCGCAAATAATGTGTCCCTGAGAGTTCGCTAAAATGTACTGCTAAAACATGAAAATCATCGTCGCACATTTTGGGGCTGGCTTGATTATGGAGTTTTTTTATGAATTAGAAACAATAAGGGCACTATCTGTCCTCCTTTCAAAGACTTTTCAGGCACGAATTGACCAGATTTAAGGGATGCCGGCAAAGTACGTGGTGAGGGTTTTTCTTTTGCTGTGAGTGCTGACGAGAGATTGTTATCAGTAGAGTTTATTGTAAATGGATTCTTCTAAGATAGTTTCCGTTTGAAGGCGTGTTTCAGAAGTGACATTTGCACCTTCTTTCGCCTTTGAAGTGTACTATTTTATTGGGCTTAGATTTGGGACACGCTCGTGAGTTAAGAGCGGTTGGAGAATTTGCTTTAGGAATAGATATGGAGGAGCCCGTCAGCTTCTTATCTGTGATAGATTCTTGTAAGCATAATATGCTCTATGTTAAACCAATCTGAGGTTGAAAATGTAAACAACTGTTGAGGTGATACAGCTAAGATATGCATGATACTTCTTCCTCTAAAGGTGGTTGTTTTTCGTCAGTTTTGATATCAGTGGACCTCGTCTTCTGCTGTCAAGGAAATCATCGCGCTTTCGTTCATGTAGAGGTGTTTTTCAGGACACCAGTTGACAGGAATAGAGTGTTGTGATTTCACTTGTGATTCAGCAGGACCTCTTAGGCCTATTTTAACCTCTTTACAAGGTGATTGTAGTGTCTTACACGGAGATTCTCCCGAACTTTTGACAGAAGCTGTATCCTTGAGATCAGTCATGTGAAGTTTCCCAGGCCCTATACCATAGCCATGAGGGTGCACGCTGCTGTTTTGATGTAAAGTCGATGGAGATATCATGCAATTTCCGTCTCCTATATTTATCACGACCTCCTCTCTCGGTACAACTGGCAAGTCGCTATATTCTTTAGATGATTCAGCCTCAGTTACGTTCAAAGAATTAAAACCCGCCTCTTCAGAATGTTTTTGATAACTTGGCAACTGCACGTTTGGCGAAAAGGAGAGCGAGGACTTAATGTTTTCGTCTTCTAGCACATTTACCACAACTTTGTTCCATGGAATCATCGGCATATTATAAGAATCTTCTGAAAACCTCACATCTCTCTCATCCAACAGGATTTTAGATTCGTTTAGAAATTCCTTCAGAGATGCCTGAGATGTTCCAGAATCTTTTGATTGGCATTCATCTCCCTTCGCCTGAATCGTCAGAGAACTTGCCTTGTCTGTCATCACATTTGGTCTTGTTTCTTGACAAGTTGCCCGTGTCCCATTATGTTCCTCGAAGAGAAACAAAGTTCCCTTCTCTGATCCTGCTTGGCTTGCAGAAAGACAGTTCAGCGACGCATTCGAGGAAGTCGAGCTGCATGGATCATTCGTGATCGGGAAAGTCCAATCTACAGAGTTGTTGAAAAGGTGTGAAAATCCAGTAACTGGGTAGTCTTTGGATTTGTTAGGCGTAGTAGGATCAGAGGGTTGGTCATTCTGGAAGGGAGTTGTTTTAGGTTCAGAATCTTGGTAAGGCTTCACCATCACTAACTTCGTTTTGTAATTGATTTCACCGTCACTAAGATCTCCATCCAGACTAGTAGTTCTTGTTACTTCAGCTAGTTGCGCTTCAGAATCAGCAGGCCTGACAAGATTACTTCTTTTCTGACATTTATTCCTGGGTAGGACGAGAACACGAAAAAAATAATAAGTATCGAGAAGGTTAATATTTAGTGTCTGGGTTGGTAAGAATCGAGCACACAAAAGTTTTCATGATTGTACTTAGTAAATTTATAAATGTATCTTGATTTTGTTCCGTATATATATATGTATACATTGGATTTATTTCTTCTTTATTCTTAGCTTCAGTAAAAATAATATTTCGGTAGAGCGGGAATCTTGCTGAAGATAACTAGTTATCATTGTATCCAATCCCAATTCAATCCCAAGCCCACCGCGATATCTTACTCCGACCCGATATAAGAACAATAAGATCTCTCCAGCTGCCACGTATACGTTCTCCTTTTTTTAAAGGAGATTCCAGTTACTTACAAAAAAATTACGTAATTTCTGTTTAGGCATGAACCCATTTTCATTTGAAGCATCTCTACACAGTTTAAACCTCTTTATAGAGTGGACACTGACATTATTTTCTCTCAAATGTGAAAAAATCTTCTGGAATTGTCTTTGGACTTGCTGCTATCTCTAATAAAGGAACAATTTATCTCCCCTTAATCGAGAATGTACCTAACTCATTTAAACTTACCATATAAGGGCAATAACAGTAACAATGAAGGGAATGGCTAACACTCCTGCTAAGACACCGCCAACTACTGCAGCAGAACTTGCTTCTGTTTCATCTCCGGTTTTCGAATGAGATTTCTCACTTTTCGTTTTGACATGCTTTCCTTTTTCACCCGCGTGTAATTTTGGAGGATCTTGGAGGATTTTCCAATGCGGCCCTTTCGCTGCCTTCATTCTACGGCGAACGACTATTTTATTGTGAGTCATCGCTGACGTTTTTTTACGTAAGTGTGAAGCTCCGCTTTCTTGAACTCTATTGTTATCTTGTGGTAATGGTTCGCTTTTGTTGTTACTGTCAGCATGTCGTTTATCAGGCATTGACATGTCCTGTGATATAACCTCCGAGGAGAACGCATGCGTAGAAAAGGACACTTGATCTGTATCTTATCCAAGAACAATAGCGTAGTACCATCATTAATGAATGTGAGTGAATGCAAAGAGTAAGTTCAGGAAATCATATGATTGACACCAGTGCTATTTGTTACTTATGGGCAATGATCGTAGAGGGTTTTCATTAATTACACAAGTCTAAGGCGATTATAGAACCGGCTAACTTTCTTAATAACCTTTATCTGATCAATCTTATCTTAATCTTATTATACGAAATCTTTTTCCGGATAATTTGGCAACAACAGTCCTGAACACGTCTCAAAGCAGAGGAAACAACGAAGAGTTGCATGAGTGAATTAATTTGGCAATCCTTTTATGCATTGGGATAATTCTTTTATTCATCGAGCTTATTCCGTCAGGATGGCTGGCTGTTGGTCTTGTTCATATATACGTTTTCATGGACCTGGATTTCGTTTCAATCCATAAATAGTAGCAAACATCCAGCCATATCTACCTTGCACCTGGTCAATAACGCAAATTTAAGGACGATACTGTTTAAAGATTTGAGTTGTACACGTACAAACCTCAAAACAACGCTTCGTTGACGCTCGTGACAAGACGAAAAACATCTTTCTCCATTTCTTTATCGAGTTCAAAACGTACCATCTCTCTTACTCTAATTTGTATAGGTAATCACATGATTTCGAGTGCAATTTGGAATAAATAAGCACGAGTAAATTTTTTTAAAGACTAACAAAATTGCACGAGCCCGTAGGGCGAGTGCAATTTGTGGTCTTTGAAAAAATTAACAATTGCTTGTTTATTCCAAATTGCACGAGAAAAATCATGTGATTACGTGTTAATAATATACATGGGAAAATACGAGATGGCTTATCATAATTAAACATAAGCAAAGCGCTCGCGTCAAGTGCAAAAATCATTTATTCAAACCTTGCGTTCGGTCAAAACAACCGCGTACGATCAAAATAATAATAAATTATGCAATGATATCTTCACATCTTTAAGGTGCTAAAAAGTTCAAAGTCCGGCTAAACAGTTCAAGGAATTGTTCAGTCTGTGTCCTAATCACTTTCGATGAAATGGAATCGTCGTTTCCGGGGTTTAATCATGTTTGTTTTTAATTTCGGCGTGTGATCGCTCGAGCAAAGTGTGTGTTAAACTGGGTCGGCTCGTAATTTTCGATTTCCTCGGCAATTCCCTTCTCTAAACACCACTTTTTCCAAACCGACAACCAAAAAGCAGTGCTTTTTACAGTGTTTTCGTTGTTTAAGCTGTTTTTCAGCTGCGGTGGCGAAAGAAAGCCTACTTAAATCACCGGCCATCGTTTCGCTCGCAAATGTTCAAATGTTCAAATTTTGTTTCGACATCCAAGGCTCGCATTTGATTGGCTATCTGTGAGTTTCTTTGATTATTGACCAATCAGAATGTCTGATTTGTTTCTTTCTTTGCACTGAATTAACCCTCTTCTGCACTGAATTAACTCTCTTCTGCACTGAATTACCCGAAAACTGCATTTATCTTAACCAATCAGAAAGTAATTTTTCCATGTATATTATTAGATGCTATAGAAATAGACCTCGCCCACCATATAGTACTTGTAGCTCAGTGGTAAAGTATTGGTACGGCGCGCGGAACCCGAAAGTCTGAGGTTCGATTCCTCATAGGACTCAGAATTTTTCTTTGTCCCACGCTTGTGACAAGACGAAAGACATCCTTCTCTTTTTCTTTACCGACCCCTCCTGTTCTATTTACAAACAATGCTTAGTTTTCTTACCTTTACAAGATGCCGTTTCGAGTAACAGTAAACATTGAAAAAGAAAAACGATAAAAACTTTGTTCTTATTCATGACTCTGAGCTGTCTCGAATGGTGGTAAGAAACAGCGCTCTCTCTTAGAGAGAAAATAATTTCTAATTGATGCGTCACAATGACAGCTCTTGCATCATTACTGGGCGCGCGCAAGAGCTATTCACGCGAAGAAAGGAGAAGCACAAGGTGAGGACTGTGGAGAGTTAGGGGGCACAGATTAAGGCCCTGTTGAAGCCTGGGTTACAGTTTACCTGTGAGGACTTGTAGGTCACTCACCATCCGTATATCAAATCTATTTCGCTTCGTGTCACTCTCGTATAAAACACAGCGGGAAGGGAGAGAGCACCTATTTCAAGTGGTGGTGAACAGGAAGGGCGTGTATTGGAAGCGAGGCAATAATTCCAGAATTTACGACGATATATAGTCATTCAAGGCGAGTGACGCGATGATTTACGAGAACAAATCACCAATACTTCTCTTAGTTCGAGTACAGTATCATTCCATTCTCACCATTATATTACAAGCATCAGAGCATTAGCTGCAAACTAAACTTAAAAAAATAATAACAATTTTCTGACAAACGTGTAGTTCATGACGGTAACTATAGAGACCTAGAAGTAAAGCATTCGCGCAATCTTCGTTACTTGATATTTTGAACGTTACAGAAAGCAGGCAGGTTCCGTATGACAGCAACTTATACTGAAAGGGTATCTCGTTGCAAAAACCTTACTTAAAATCAAGGGAAAGCTCAGACAATAAAGAGAATCCTGAAAAACACTTCTAACTCAGTTGTATTTAAATACATTGTTAATATCATATCGTGGTCAACTGATCCCTTCTTTGCATTCTCTTGGTTTTCTCTTCTCTTGTGGTCTTGATTACCAAATATGTGTATCTCTCACTTCACTAATAATATGTCCTGCCCTCTGGAGCGCCTGCAAGGAAAAAGAACATTTAATCTTGTAAGAACCATCTCGAGGAGGAGAGTTGCCAAAATACGCGTACGCCGTACAATTTTCAAAATAGAATGGCAAAAACTGAACTGTTCCAAAATAAAACCAAACGCACGCACCACTGTTTGGGTGAGCAGCGACCTATTGAGGAGTGTGTCATGCCCGTTTGCTTTCAAATTTGTATGTTTGTTTGTTACCTTGAGCATTTCCCCCGCCTCTTTCCTCTTGATATGCATCCGCTCTGCTTCCTCAAGAAGAATATTGAACATTTCATTCTGAAAAACAATGTGAAATCATGTTGAAATTCTTGTGTTATATCACGCCAAACGTAACTACATTACATAGACGCGAGGTCGAACGAGACTCGCCTCGTACCGACCAAACAGAAGGAGGAAAATATCGCTGAGAATCGATGTTCCCTTGAGCAATCACGTTTTCATCAAAAGGCTCTTATACAACCAACAAATTTACCAAATTGTTTTTGCGATAAAAGTGCACTTAAGCGCGAAGAAAGTGTGATAAACGTGCGGGGGGAGTGTGGTAAAAATACGGATGAAGTGCGATAAAAGTGCGGTGAAACTGCGAAAAAATGCAGTAAACTGCGGTTAATTGCGACGAAAATGCGGGAATAGTGTTGTATAAGTGCGACAAAAGTGCGGTTAACCTGCAATAAAATTGCAGTAAAAGTGCGATCACGATGCATTACAACTGCGATAAAAGTGGGACGAAAGTGCGGGGAAAGTACGGTACAAGTGTGGGGAAAGTACGGTAAAGCTTTAGAAACTATTCATGCTCTAAACTCATTCACCTTGTAAAGTTTCTCTACCAGCTCACTCTGAATTCTCTCTTTGACAAAGTTTACCAAGAAGCACATTATAGCTTTAGGTACACTACAAAATAAAATTAAGAAAACGAGATTTAAAATAGTGGAGACGGAAAAGTATTAATAATAATAATAGATTATACATTTGAAAATCCAGATCTCGAGCCCGAACAACGAGACTTGTGACTACACCTCGTTACCCGTCAGGCCAGAATTAAAGGTACTTCTACGTGGAGCACGGAGAAACTGTTATCTTATCCATGATCACAAGGATTTCGACCAGAGTTCAAAAGCAGAGACCAACATTCTCACATCTGGCCACCATGTCAGAAGATGTTGCAAAAATCAGTCTTCCTTGTTCTTTTCATTATCTCTAAGCACTCTAGTACCCCGTAGAGTTAAGCGGGGAACAAAAACACCTCCAAAGAATACTGTAGTCAGCATAATGATTCATATGAACTCACCTATCTTGAATTGATTTCCTAACAATCATGAAGTACGACTTAATTAATTTCCCTAGAAAATAGTAAAAGAAAATTATAAGATGGGCCGTGTTCAACATGTCAGTGTGCGAGCCTGAAAAACCAGTACATTGGTTCACTTCCCTGCGTAAAATCAATACCAAAGGCAAAACAAAATGTCTTCTAACTTAGTTTGATTTGTTTCATTTGGCTTATCCTTTCTTCAAATAAGTTTCTAACCGTAAACTTTCGTAGTTGTGCGATGTGACTTCGCCAAAACAGCAGTCAAAATGACAGAGTTAGTCGCTTTGAATTTATCCCCTAAAAGGAGTGAGCCAGTGAATTTTTTGACCTCGTAACCTTGACCCAGTCTTCCTCGGTCGCAGCTTGTCTTCTGGAATGTGGGCCATTTACAGTTCATAGCAATAATTTAAAATTTTAGATAACTTAACCCGGACACA